AATTGCAAGCTGAATGGTCGCATTTACCGCTGTCGCAGGAATAATACTTACGCCTTTTTTTCAGGGCTTTGTTGCACTGATTTTTTCCTCTGAATTGACAAGAACCATATTTGCAGACCATTGTTCCATGATATCTAGCATTTGCAGCGTTCGATGCATTTATCATAATTTTCTGGTCAGAGCAGCACTTTACTCCCTACCACTGGGGCTGCAGCAGCGTACACAATTTCTTGTATGTTTGTTTTTGGATCAACATTCATAATTCGGGGATATTTTAATGAGCATAATTTCAGTGATGTTTTGGCAATGTTCCACTGTTTCATTGCCTCGTTGCTTCTGGAGGCCTACCGGGATAATTAATTGGCTGTCACAGTGGCTTCCGTATGCTACCAGAAGTAGTGCTATATTGCTGCGTGAACTGATGAGGGAAATTATATTTGTTGACATGCTCCATATTGGTTTGCTTCTGTTGTTCCTTATTTATTCGACTAGAATGCCATGTTCTCAAGTTTTTAATTCAATGATTGTTAGGTTTCTGGTGTGACGGAGCCTTCCAGTAAGGTTGCCCTGCGCAGTAATTTAGGCATTTCTGTAAAGATTTTAGGGTGCTTTTAATGACATTATTTATTGTGAACTTTCTGAAGTGCTGAACTTGTGACAGTATATTGAATTTTTTCCTGCAGTCTAAAATATTTTGCCACACTGTATTGATTGTTCACAGTATTTAGACTTCAAATTTTAGTCGTTTCTGTTCGAATGGCAGCATTTTAGTAACTGTGAAGACGATCTATGCTTTTGCAGCCGCTGTTTTTGCGCAATGCTAAAGACGTATAGTTCGAGCATTCGTCAAGCCTCTTTTCGAGCTATACTAATTCTGTTATGGCCTTGCCTGATTTTCGCCTTGACGGCGCAGCAAGTGATTACAGGCGAGGTGGTGGCTGGCAATTATTCATATTTTCGAATCACGAAGGAAGGCTCCCTCGCTCTAATATTGTTTTCATACGAAGGTGATGTTGATTTGTATGTGTCCAGTTCTGTTTCCAGCCCTACATATGAATTTGGATGGCACGACTTCAAGTCAGCCAGCTGTGGTGTGGACCATGTTGAAATCGAGAGTCGTATAAAGCGCCCTGTATTCGTCGGCATTTATGGATATTCTCAAAATGTGTTAAATAGGTTCGTTCTCGTTGTGAGTCTGTTTGATCCACACGATGAACATGTGTCCGATATGTGGGATTGGGTGAACAGTTTGGAATTTACTGGAGACTCTAAAACGGTTTTAGACCTGTTGCTCAAGAAAGACAAGACGTCACTGCAGTCGACGTTGTTATACTTTGGCGAGATGATTGTTTCTTTTCTACTTTTTATATTGGATGTTTTAGCTGAAAGTTTTGCCTGAAGATCAGGCTTGTTCTGATTCTGTCTTTACCGTTGATATGAATTTACAGTTATCTTTTTTCGGATCAATTGGCCTATTCGATCTGTTTGATACGATGCTTATTGTTTTTCTCTCAAGCACTACATTCGTCTTTGTGTGAAGGTCGTTATTCAGCTGGCATGGATTCGGTAGATTTGCAGACGCATTTCGTGGTTTGCGATGACTTTCAGCAGTTACGCACGAAGTACGCATCTAGTGATTCATTGATTGGCGACTTGTTTGCAGCCAGCGTAGCTGGGCATGTTTTTAATTTTTTGAAAGTATTTGTTGTCATGGTTTCCGATTAATTGTACTGTATGTTAGTTGTAAGATGTCGAAGGATACTGAAACTCGACAGTTTATTGTTAAACGGAATTACCAGTGTCCTGCTTTTTCGTTATGAATATGCAAATAAAAGTATATGTAAGTTAGACAAAAATGACAATAGAGATAAACTTTAAAAAAATAGAACTATGGGCTACAGAAAATTGGCAAGACCAGCGTACTACACGACAGTCACATGAAGCTTAAGGAATACTACAAAAAGTTTACTTCTGGATTTGAAAATATTTTGATCGTTTGTTACACTTATTTGGTTTAAATAAGTTTTTGGAAGTCGCTGTGGGTGATTCTATAGATTGACGATTTCAGACAGTTATGAATCAGTCTAAATATCAATTTCACCTCCCTACTGATTTTTTTGCTTTTTGAGAAGGTGAAGATTAATTGGTTTTTGTTATTTGTGGACATGCTAATAAAAATCTGAGGAAGTGCTTGTCTACTTTTACGGTTATACACGTGTTTGTGCAATCATAACATCTGAAAAATGCTGGATATCTACTTTTCGACTAGTCGTTTTGCCTTAAGTTTCTTATAATATTGATTGTTTTTAACATGGTTCTACTTAATCTTCTTACGGCATTATAGAATCGCCCATTTCTCCTTGACACGTATAGAGCATTCCATCGTTTTTTGGGACTTGAAGTACAAGAAAACTGTCCCTTGTTATTTAATCGGTTAGAAAATTACCGTACTCCTCACTATAAATGAACCAGAAGCCGAACTCAGTGGATGCTTTGAACAATATTGAAAAATGGGTTGAAGCACAAAAATTACCTTAGCAGATGTGGCCCTGCTTTGCACCGAGTATTGTGTTGACTGATTGCGTTACTAGTCGATTCATATTTTCAAAGAAAGTCGAATTACGTATGGCGTTTTAGCATCTCATTGCAACGAATCTATTGTCGATATTTATATGGAACGTCTAGCTAGTGAAATGATTCTTCGATTTGTCCGTCGTAAAGTGACTGTTCCCTCTTTTCAATTGTTCTTCCAGCTGCTGTCAAACGAAAGCGGAGCTCTGTGATCGCTATGAAGTTGTCAGTTCTGATGTCAGCATTTCGTTTCGCCCATTTGTCGTAGATGGCATTCTGCTATTTGTCACGGATTGTCGCATGATCCATTTTCCTTTCGAAGTGGCCTACTGACACCAACCATGTCTGCTGATGGGTGCGACGATGATGGAACAGCGTCTTCCTTATAATGATGTAGTACTGAGCGCAGTATTTGACCGATGATGGTAGATGGTGCTGGTAAAACCAGTGTTTTGTCTTCACCCAAAAAGCCGGGCCATCTGTTATGATGCCTGTCTGGAAGTTAACGTCACCTGCGATGATGGATGTTTGATTTCGCTGAAGGGAATCAAGAAGGCATGCACAAAGCAGTCATTCTTTGCATCATCTGCAACGTTGCTAGTGATATCCGCGACAGAAAGCTCAAGCTCGCGAGGAGAAAACAGAAGTCGAGATTGCTGTAGTTTGTGCCGTCAACCCTCTTCAGTGGATGAAGTGAGTGACTTTTAACCTTAGGCATATTTGGCTTTTTTTCTTGATCGAGTATCATGTATCGATGGACATATCACAGATCAGGTACCATATCGAATAATCGAATATAATGCAGATGGTAATCCAACGTCTGTCGGATTCTTTATGGCAGACCCACAGAAGTGATCTAGTTTGTGAAAAATGGGGTGTTCGCGTGATCAGACTTGTTAAATCTCCATGAGCAATCTGAATGTTTGCAATATGCCGAAAGACGTAACTTCTTGAAGTTCTGTTCAACGCACTGGTTTTTGGAGCGCAGTGCACTATCCATTATAAGCACTTCAGTACCAAGAGAACAAATAAGCTGTCACGATGATCAGAAATATTGCAACTCATTTCGTAGGCTGGTTCCGCTCAGTTCTATAGAACTCCTGACTTGATAGACCCTGTCTTCAAGAAGAAGCTACAATTCCGTCCGCCATTTGTATGCCGATCTGCGTGTGGTGATTGTTGGAAGTGGTTTTGCGCAATAGTGTGCTGTTACTTTACTGGCACGTTACAGTCTACACCTAGCAACAAATCTGTGAAACATTGAGCACGAGTTCTTTCGACCGGGCAGACGCTCATGACGAACAATTACAGGTTCATGACTGACGTTCACAGTTACCATAGCAACTGAGGAAAATATGCGTTACGGCGCTGTATGCTGTATCGTACTTCGTTATTCACCTTCTGCATATGAATAAGAGGTTACGCTTAGTAAGAATCTGACCACGATTAGACACATTAGGTTATTTTCATCTATATCGTTTTGCGGACGCTATATCGTCATCAAAACGCATGGTGGAACTGTTGTGCTAATGAACTGTAACTTGTTTCGACGGTAGCGTTAGGTTGTTCGAAAACAAGTGGACGTTGCATTTGTAGGCTGCTGTTTCGTCAATGTAATCTCTCTTTGGACCATCACCAGGAAGGCGAATGTGAAACAACGTTGCGACTGTTTGGGACTGGTACACCGGTAACAGGAACCTCTGTCGCCAATACTTGCAGTGGCCAAATAAGATGATTTTGGGCGATGGAATTTGTCGGTGAAGGAGGTTGGCGCAGGTAAATTGGCTACAATTGCTTTGCAGACGAAATCACACCACTTGATGTTGAGGAGCCTCCTCTGACTCTGCATTCTGCATTGAAAGACCTGGAGTTGTTTTTCGCCACCTTCTGCAGCGTCCAGGTGCTATTTATCGGCAGTGACGGTTGAAGTCACGAATTTAAGCCTGCAACTGACTGAGCATAGCGAAGCAACAGCGATTAGATTTATGCAGGTTGAAGATGAATAGTATCGTAATGAAACAGAAGCGACCAAGAACAACAGAACTGCATTGTGGTGAAATCGTAAATTCTACTTCGTCCTACTGACGCTAACTGCCAGAGACGGTGATGGTCATAATGCGTCAATAGGTCGTTTTATGAACGAC